TGGCGCAAACTTTTCTGACGCTCTTTAAGTGCCTCCTCCTTGTGCCTGCATTGAATTTCAATTAACGTTCAAATTGCTTACGAATTCCACTTGCCATTCCAATTTCAATAACGAAATAATAATAAATAAAAAGAGTACAGCAAAAAGTAAATACAAACGCGCATGAAATTAATTCGAAGGAAAAATTGCCAAATACCGAAATCAAGAAACTTTGGAAATACAAAAATATGGCACAATAAAAACGAATTAAATTTAAATTAAGTGACTTGCTTTGGATTTATGAGTTGATAATACGTATTTTGTTGCCATGCTAAAGGATTTAGATTGTATTTTACTTGCTAAAAAGTTAGACAAACTAAAAAAGTTATCTGTGAATCCATAAAAGCAAGCAATTATTATGCAAATAATGTAGAAAATGTAACAAATTTAAAAACACTTAATAAAAGTGATTAAATAAACAAGAAATAATCATTTTATTTTCAAGGCATTGCGTTTGTTTACTTAAGATACGTAATAAATTGGAAAATATCATACTGAAGCCGGGGTTTAACAAATTTAACCAATAAGGGGCATGAAATCGTTGATTTATCATCAACACCTGAAAAAATAAATATTTGTGGTATACATTTAACAAATTCTAAGAAATTAAGCTCACACGAATGTAATTTATATCTTTGTATGCAACCAGTTTGATTATATTTCAGTTAATAAACATTGCAAACTTCAAGCTTCGTTTAAAATGGATTAAAACTAGTCTCCGATTCCAGAACTAGTTATGATCAGTTTGTGGAAGACAAGTATAATCCAGAAGGCCTTAATAGGGTTCTCCACCTTCCCGGTTCAACTCAAAGCCTGTAGTTATTTAATAAGCTTACATTAAGCCGCCATTAAACAAAGTACTTAATTATCAATTACATTGTCGGGGTTATAAATCCAACGCTATATGGCACAACCACATAAGAACCCTTTTTTTCTATTTCAAAAGTGCGCAGTTTACAAATATCTCAAAGTACAAGACAGACACAACACACGCTTTCCGAGTATAATGATAATAGATAGTGGAATAGCAATAGGTAATAATTAGGTAATGTCATTCAAATAAATGACAGGACAAAGGTAATGAACGATGAACAATGAGGTAAACTCTTCCAAGTTGTTTTTTGAAAAATGTAATTTTAGATTTGATATTTTTAGAGACCCGTTCCGCACATTAAGCCGCTTAAACGGACCTCCGTGACAGCCGATTTGCTGTAGTTGTAATTGCACCAAATGCAATTTTCGAGGCACACAAACCCAGTCCGATGCACACGCAACTTTTTTGCGGTTGAAATATGCGAATATGCGAATATGTGAATAATTAAATGTTGGTGGCATCTTCCGTGTTTGGTTAAATGCAATTTTAGGTATGCCAAAGTTGCCTCACTCGATTGGCTAAGTAATTGTGCAGTCAGCGCAACGAGCTGAAAGCTAAATACTAAAACTTGCGAATAAATTGAAAGCCTAATGTAAAACATATTCAAATGAAAAGGTAAAAAATGTATTAACAAAATATATTTATTTATAGGAGAACGAGCTAGACAGCAAAGCTTAACTGCACGAAATGCAGCAACTAAAAAACATTAGATATTAAATAAATAATGTACTCCTTTACAATCCTATTTCTATACAAACACTTTGTCTTCAATATAAAGTACTAAATTATACATAGTAAAGTATTAATGAGCTCCCAAGTATCTTTATGCAGGATTTCCGTTCTCAACCTTTATTCTACGAATGTTAAAAATAGTTAAACAAATCCAAGCAAGGGGTTTTTTATTAATTAAATTGATATGGCAAATACCTACTCCCCACATTTATTTCTGAGAACTTTTGCCACAATCTTTGTTTTGTTTTGTATCTGGAAAATACCCGTAGTATTCCCCCCTCAGGTCGTATTCACGATTCATAAATAATTTATTAGCCTCGCTTCATTTACGGCTTCTGCACATTCTCAAATTAATTATTACGAATTAACACAAAATCTAAGAAGCACGCGTCGGATAAAAATTAAAGAAAAAGCGCACAGAAAATAACAGATAAATAAATGAACTTATCACCTGAGGCTCTTTTTGGTTTTGGCCTGGCCTTTTGTGGTTTGGCTAGTTTGCTTCTGGCCAGATCAAACGAAACGCGTTGAGCATGGAGCGGGGATAAAGAAACATTTTCTGCTGACGCACATTTCACACAACAAAATTATTATATGTATAGAAGAGGGCCCCACCAGCAGTAATTATCAAAGCAAAGCAAAGATTTTTTGCCAAATGAATTTATAATGGTTTTATTTTTATCTTGTTGGCGAATCCAGACAGGTCTGGCTCTAAGCAGAAGCTGCTCTGTTGTTGTTTTCTTTTGGTTTCTTTTTACGATTGTTTTTTAGTTTATTTTTTTGGCATGTGCCAAAACAATTTGCCACCTGCTGTCCGGTGCTTGGTATCCGAATCTTGAGCTCTCTTTTCCTTACCAAATTATACTTACTTTTACTGCAAGAATTTCTTTTGGTGGAAAACTCTCACTCACCGCAGCCACAAATGACAACCTGACATGTCAGGTGATGTGTCAAATGTCTATCTTCACTGGCTACGTGCCGCGGCCAGGTGAAATTCAAGTCCATGTCCATGTCCAGCAGAGACATAAAATTTAATGCAAAAAACGTAAGTGAAAATTAAGCAAAGAATAAGATAAGCCGCCAAGCCTCTGGATCCAGCTTCAGATTCTTTTTTTGTGATGGGTAAAAGTGAAACGAGTTTATTTCAGATGAAAGTTCGGCCATTAATGTTCTTTAACTATATTTTAGAGAAAGTTCTAGGCAGGTGGATGAGGATTTCTTAGTTCCCCTCTAAATATCATTTACCAGAGTACAAAAAAAAGTTTTTAAAAATCCCCTCAAAGTAACTCATTTGTTGTGATTCGTGTGTAATTTTTGTTTAAATTCTGGGAATCACTGTCACGACTGAACATATTGATTTATTACCTCATATACGTATTTCGTCATGACCACATTTCTTTGTCAAGTTTGTTAAACAAATTCAAATTTGCATATAAGCGAATATATTAATATTCAAATTTGTCAACATATTTGGCGGAGGCTTGGTCAATCCATTTTGTTTATTGTTTTATTTACTTGCTTTGCTCAAGTTCAGAGTTCGCATTTCATTTGAAAGCTTACGTAACCTGATCTTGATGGCATTTAGACTCGATTTGATTGCAGGTGATCAGTGGTCTATTAAGCCGATTTATTTTATTAAGACCATTAGTCAAACCAGCTCTCTCAGGTGTTAAGGAATAGAAAAAAAGCTAATCAAGTTGGATCAGAGAAGGAAATGATGGTGCAATTAAAGGCTTTTGCAGTTTAGTTTCATCAGTACGAAAATGACGCAAATTTATGATCTAAACAAATTATACTCGAACTCATACTCGTATTCACATTGCATGTGAGCAATTGTTCACAAACTGCCCCGATGTCGCAGATCGTTTCCGTTGACAAATTCACATTGTTGTGGCTCGATCACGAAACAATCAACCGTCAGCAGCCACGTTTCTAATGCATTTTAAATGTTGTATAATTTAAAGATTTATCAATGCATGAAGTCCGAACGGATGTCCCCTCAAACGGACATGATTCAATAATGTTCGAAATCAAGACTTGCAAAAAACGGGTCAAGAAACAGATACAGATCGTTGATCTCTGGCGACCCCGTTTCATGTGCGTGGCAACGCAATCGATACAGCATAAATGCGTTAAGACGATGAGCAAAAGAAATAAACTTGGCTTAAAAGGGCCAACTCTCTAGAGGGGTCCCTTGGTGCAATTAAAGCGCAAAACTGAAGCTGAAAGGCAGGCCAAGAGCTGTAAAGCCGGCAGCCAGCAACGGTTGGTCAGCTCGGCAAATTAGCATTTAAGTGCCTTTCAACAGTTAGGCAGCCATATATTCCCTAGGTTTAACATACATACATATAACCAGAGACGAGTATGACTAGCGGCAATTAGAACTGAACCAAAGCTAAATCAAGAGAGCTTAAGATGAGTTATTAACTCACTAGACTTGAAGATACTTAGCAAAAGTAAGAGATACTTCGTATAGGTATCTCTATGAATTCTAGTAAGTTTGGTTTCTTTTAGAGTTTGAATTACAGATCTATCTTATATGGGAATTTCATTAAAAAAATAGCTTAACCAATAGAAAACAAAAAACGAAGCTTACTTTGGAATTGCAGTTTGCAATTGGATTGTAGAATTGTTCATAAGTCAGACAAAAATGGGTTAATTTCAATTCGGAAAGGGTTTCTATGCTAGTTTTTATTGGGTTAATAAATCTGCATACTCAATTTAAAATGAAAAATTTTACCAATTTTTGACAATTTTAACGATGTAACCCCTTTCATTTGTTTGGAATAATGGAAAATATTGGAAAATTTTGTTTTTCTGCCGGAGATAGCTAGAAAGATACGCCTAGTGATGCTGATCAAGAATATATATGATTTATAGGGTCGGAAATGACTTCTTCACTGCGTTCCAAGCTTTTGACTGAAATTACAATACACTTCAATGGTAAAACTAAAAGAACCCTTAAATTCCGGCACTTTCTTATATACCTTACTAAATTTTAAACCTAAAACACCTTCAGTAGCACAACTAACTCATTTCCGGTCAAGTATACCCAGTAAGACGCATTTATAGGGGATACTTTACGACCAGCAAATTGTACTACGTCAACAGTTATGTAAGAAATTTGTTTTTCTCCCCGGTCGTTCTATGAGTAATTGACCCATATTTAAGGTTCTCAATGCGAGCAGTGAGCCGTGCGAAAGTTTGCGTGCCTCGAGCACTAATGGCACACCACCAGAAGCAGTTGCAACTTATGAATAGTTTACTCAGAAGCACCACTTTCCCGCAATTGAGTACTGGATCCACACTAGTTTTTCTGGAATTTTTGTATCATTTCTTCGGGGTTTATAGTTACCTGAAAACTTCCACAAATATTTATTGAAGCGCCTTCGAGGTGTGTCAGATGGGCCTGCAAGAGATAAACAAAAGAAACGATTAAAATATTTGAAGAAACGTATAAAAAGTAACACAAAAGATTTATCAATTTGGAAATGCGAAGATCAAAAATGTTTTCACACGCCTCGTGAAATGAGATAATTTGACGGCGGCTTTCACACGAACACTTTCCGATCTATAAGGGGGCAGCATTGGGGCATTGGTAATCCCCCCCGGAGTGCAATTATGGGGGGATTTATTGAAAATGAAAATAAACACACAGCAACATCCAGCGAAATCAAAATCAAAATCGAATCAAAACGCGAGGCGAAATCAAAACTTGCACAATGGATGAGGAAAAAAGCAAAACAAAAGCCAATCAAGAGCAATCAACAGCCAAGAGCCAAGACCAAAAGACTCTCTGCCTGCAGTTTTCTTTTGGTATCGCACAGATGCGTCACAGAGCCGGCAAACCGAGAGATACAGACAGATACAAGTGCAGATACAAGATACAAGATACAAGTGCGGATACAGAGCGAGAGATACTTTATGTAGGTTGCTTCGGACTCGGACTCGGACTCGGGCTCCCCTTTTCTCCAGCAATGTTTAAGCCATGAATCAAGCAATTGTCGAGGCACTTTTATTCAGTTTTAAGCGATATTCATGCTGGCTTATGGGGCGAGAGGGGTAATTGGCCCGGCAAACGGGTTAGCATTAACGTGCACGTTAAGCCTTAACGCCGACGTTAACCCAAAAGAGTGGTGTGAAAAAAATTGGTCGCCCGGTTTCGGATACAGATACAAATTGGCAAAAGGCCCCTCCCTGACTAATTGTTTGTTCTCCGCCAGAGATTCTGCGTATCTCCTCTTGTTACTTTTTTTACTTTTGTTTTTTGGAAAGTTCTGGGCCTGACCTTGTTTCCCAAAGACGATGACAACTGTTGTCATTGGGCAAATACCAGCTAGGAGAGTGCGGCTAATAAAGCACATAAAATAAAGGTTAAAACTTAAAAAAATAAACACACAAGAAAAAAAAATAAAGACTAGTAATAGAATAGGGGGAAAAACAAACTAGGAAAGTCCGGCCAACCAGACAATGCCGCAACATGATTCCGCACTTTGCCACTGTTTCAACAGTTGTGTAAACAAACTGAGGAAGAACTAAACCCCAACACTCCCGATCCCGTCCAGTTCGATTCCCAGTTAGCTCTTGGCTAGCGAATCCAATGCGTCCAAACCCAATTGATCTTTGCCACCAGAAATGTGTCACACTGTAACAGTTCCGGAGGCGGCAATTGGGTCAAATATAATGATGGCACCCGGAATGCTAAATCAATTTAAACATTCGAGAGAGTCATCGCAGACATGTTGCTCCCTGCGGTGATCCCTAAAGAAATGTGGAGTGCTGCCTCAGCAGCTCTAAAGGTTAATTCCAAGCATTAAATATGAATTTACAATCAATTAACATAATAGTTCACCTAGAATATTGTCGATACCTTCATCAATCATTTTATGCGGCCAAGAATACAAACTGTGACTGATGGAGTTTCACCCAGCAATTTGAGACAGGGGAAAGAGACTTTGTAAAGCTTGATTAAAGTCTGACCTTAAATTTAGAAACACTTTAGTAAACAAATAACTTCCCCTTCCAAATGATTTTTCCTGGGGATTGAACTTGAATAATGGTTGAGAAGTGACCTCCAGTTTGCCTAGAAATATATTAATCTTATTTTAAAAGTTAATAACTATTTATGTCAACTGAATGAGCTACCATTTTTACAAGTACATAAACCCACTTTTAGTTTATTATCTTTAACATGCTTTGGGTGTTCCAGTTTTACACTTTCCTCACGACGGCACAACTCCATCCAAAAATATATACATATATCGAAAGCCATAAAGTTTACAATATCTGGCCCATAAACCAATTGCATAAACGATGAGGCTCAATGAGGCTCCACTTGGCGTAGGCTGTACCTGTGGATGTGGATCCAGGCCTTCATCATTCCGAATCTGTATCTATGCATAACTAGGCAGGCCCGGTTCCGCCGGCCAATGGGCTGGGATTTTCAGCTAGAGTTCGGGATCTGGGACTGGGCTGTGTCGTTCGTTGATAATTTATATGTGTCGTCCAGCCCCCACAATCAAGTAACCAGCATTGCCTCTTGCCTTTTGTTTTACGGCCAGGGGGAGGAGTGAGTTTTATTTCCGTTCCACCATGACCATGCCCAGCCGATGGCCCCACATCGTTCTCCAGCGGCATCTGAGAACAATCTTACACATGTAATTGCAATTGTCGAGCCACTCACGACAGTCGAACGAGCACAACGAGTTGGGTTCTGGGTTTTCTTTGAGGAGGGAACATTTCTACCTTTTAATTTGTGCGGCATACTACGGGTACTACTCCCTATACACGGCAAGAAATTTACCTTCATTAGTACCATGTAATGCTGCATAGCTATCAAGTATTATTCATAGATTCCTCCCAGTGTAGACCACAAAGTTGTAAGACTCTAGCCGTGGCTGCCTCATTTTAATGTTGTGTAAAGTTCTAAGACCCCCGACAATTGCAACGGAAGTGCGTTCATTATTTTTAATGATTTTATTTAGTGGCTGCGCTGGTCAGAGCTCTACCTGAAAGCCTTCAGATTGAGTTCTGCCTTTCGGATTTGAATGCCTTTTGGTTGGGACAGGATCTTCGAGGGGCATTTACACGCCAAAGTCTCAAAACATCTTATCCTGATCTTGAGTTAGGGAATGTCTGTCTATGTCTTTGTGGGCTTGTTGTGCCCCAGCAGACCGAGACAAGTAATTAGTGGTGGAATAAAGACACACACTCGCACACACACTCTATGGATGAGGCATAAACAAGTCAAGTCCCTGATTCCCACTGTCCATAAAGATTAGGTATTTATGACCGCTCCCCGCTCCCGACTTCCGTCCAACGAATTATGAGGGTGGATTGGTAATATCTTTATGCCTTCCCAAAACAGAAGGAAAATCCTACTACCTGTCTTGTCTCTCTCTGTTGCTCATTTCATTTTGGACAAAAGATTGGTGTTGTGTGACCCGTGAACCCCCCATCGATTCCCAACTATGTGTGTATCTTTATCTCTGTGCATCTGTCGCCAAGCGAGGTCTGAGCAGCTCTAATTGCATCTTTCAGCAATTAGCAAGCCGGGCTAATTTCAATAATTGAATGGAAAACAACACAAAGTCAGAAGGGCAGACGGTCTGACGGGGGCACAGCCACAATTGACATTCACATGGGAACTGTCAGTCAACTTTGACCGCAAAATAAACTGAAAAATTACTTAAATGAGAGCAAATAAGTAGGTCTAGACGAGGCCTAGCACATTTTTGAATGCTCTTTTTTTCAGAATTAACAATCTTTTTGGGATTAAAAGAGTCTACTTGAATAAAGACCAAGGATCAATTAACTATCTTTGCTTTGAGGAATAGAAAAAACTAATTTGTAGCTTAGCTTATAATTTCAATACGAAACTAACGACTTTATTAACTAGATTTATCTGTTATGGCGTAGTAAACAATTAGAGAAAAATTAAACCAGTTTTTTAATAGAATAAAATAGAATTCAAGCGTGCCCTTTGATGATTTTCTTAGTTAATGGAATATTTAGAAACTTAAAAGTTGGTTTGTAAGAGTATATTTACCTATGTACTAACTATATAAATGTTATATAAATACAATTACAAAATTTACAGTGCATTTTCATATGTCATTCTATACAAGTAAAGTGTTTTGTGTCAATTGATTTATCTAGAGATAAAGTAACTGATGTAGAGAATGATATTTATCACATCAAAAGGTTGCTAAGTAGTTCATGGTTCTTAAATGCTGATAATAATCTATATATAAATAAATATTTATCACATATTTATAATATTTCCGGTACATTTTGAGATTTCTATGTTCGAAGACCTTTGAGAATTCATTTGCAGTGATTTGCAATATAATATTATGATAACTATTTAAGATTTGTATGATAGTATTGCTCACAAAGGGAGTAGGAATACCAAACAAGCCAGTTATATAGATATATTATTTAATATTTTAATAACAATATTTTCTTAAAGATTTCTACCTCCAATAAGAAACACCTGCAGCATGCAATACCCTTCGTGCTTAAAGCAACCACAGTCCGATTACCGAGTTCAAAGTGAGGGGGCAGCGAACGCCCCTGACTGACAAGTGCAATGCAAACACACACAACACACAGAGGCGGAGTGCAGCAAGGGGGGGCGGCTGCAACTGAGACAATTATAAACACAAACACAACACGAGTGTGGCCACAAGGGGGTGAGACACAAAACGTTGCATGACACGCCAAGAGCAACAGCAGCAGCAACAAACAATTGACAGCAATTGTTGCATGTGATTTGCAAGATTTCTATTTTGACGTTCGAGGGACTCTCGACTTGCTACCGGGGGAGATCTGAGCCCAGTTGAGTTAAGTTGAGTTGGGATTGTCATGCATCGATTTACATATTACTGAAATCCGTATAAAAGGCAACAAAAGCTAAGCTTAAGCCGATCCATCGGACGGACGGACGCACAACGTCATTCAGCTTCTCCGTCGTCGTCTTCATTTGAATCAATTAAACCAGTTTGTGGCCTACGACTGCGACTGTGAGTATATCTACGTGTATTGGGTGTGTTTGTGAGTCAACCCGTACTCATTAGGTATTCATCTGCCTCTGCTGATGCTGCACTTGATTGATCATTCGCCGAGCCGAACCGAGTCGAGTCGAGCCAAGCTGGGCCGCGCCTAAAGTTGAGAAAAATTCCATGAATTCGATTATACAAAGTCAAATTCTCGTAGACATTACTGGATGGGATGGACAACCAATCCTATCCCCCCAACTCCCTATTTTCAGAGCATTAAAAACCAACATCAAAGGTGCGAAAGACCGCGAGGGAAAACCAGTCCTAAACACATGCAACATCTCTCCCCCGAAATCGGTGTTTCAGTGTTTCAGCGTTTTCATTTTCCATCCGATCAAAGAATGCAAGT